TCAACTTCTGTAGTGATACTGCCTCAGAAACCCAACGAGGGGTCACTATGAGGTAGATCCGACTCAATGGCAGTGTGTTGTATTTTTTGTGTATTATTAATAATAATAAACTCCATTTACTCATTCTACATTGATCCCCCACTAATCTATTCTAGAGAATGAGGACTTTAGATGCTCATATACTTGTCTCTTATCTCATTGTGATCAGATGTTCTTCTTCCTTTGTTGTCCTCACTCTGGAAGAGCCCATGCTGGTTCTTTTTCTTCATTGGTGTGATTCAACTCTAACTCCCTTCTCCACTCAGTTGCCAGCCTGAAGTGAGGAAAATGGTCCTTTCTCAGAATATAGGCACATTGCACTCTTAGTTTTCTGCATTACATTTAGAACTCTTTACATGATTTGAACTTTGAACACATGTCCACCCATACCAAGTAGAACCTGGCAAGTTCTGTAGAGAGGCGAGGGCTGAAGGAACTCAGAGAATCACTGCACACTGCTTTATAAGAGGTTTTTAATCTTTACCAAACTCCCTTCCAATTCTGAACTCTTGGAGTTAGAGTTGGACCTTGGAACCTCCTTCAGAAGAGACAGAGGGGTGACTATAATTCTGTAATTGTATTGGATGGGAGTTATTTGTTCTGGGAGACCAGCCATCAGCTGGAAAGTACTTTTTTATCCAGAAGGGTCATCTGGCTTTCAAACAAATTAAAACCTTCGTCATCCACCTCCTTGCCATCACCAACATGTCTGGACTGTGAGTAGCTGTACACCTTTAGAACCTCAGTACACAGCATTTATCAAAGACTTATTCTTAATAGGGAGCTCTGGTGGCATAGTACCTAAGGCATTTGACTGCTAACCAGAAGGCTGGGAGGTTCAAACCCATCAGCCACTCCTTGGAGGGAAGATTGGACAATCTACTTCCGTAGTGATACCTCCTCAGAAACCCAAGGCAGTGTTGCTATGAGTCTGATTTGACTTGACAGCGGTGAGTTTGGGTTATTTATATGTATATTTTTTGAATATGTAAGCAAAGTAGGATTCTGCTCCACTTTCTTTGATATAAGCAATGAAGTATTTTCTTGTAGTTGTTGTTATTATGTGCCATCGAGTCGGACCCGACTCATAACGACCCCCCCTTGGGTTTCCAAGATGGTATCACTATGGAAGTAGATTGCCCCATCTTCCTTCTGAGAAGTGGCTGGTGGGTTTGAACTGCCAGCCTTCTGGTTAGCAGTCAAGTGCCTTAGGCACTACACTACCAGAGATCCCTTTCTTGTAGTAAGGCTCCGTAATATGCCAGAATATTTTAAATTCTGTTTTTTAAAAGGCCCTGAAACAATATGCATATTAATATGCAGGTGAAGATGAAAAACTCTCCTTTCTCATGCTTAACACATGAATTATTTTTATTATTCCTTTCCTTTATTTCACTCACAGGAGAATTTAATAAAGGCTTGACATTGAGCAGACTAACAAAAGGCAAAAGAAGGAAATAACATGGAAAATAAGCAATATGAGAAAAGGAAAGTTGAGGGAAAACAAAATTCCAGTCCTTATTCTATTATCTGATTGGCTCTTTTAAATGTCCTTTAAAAAATTTTTTTTTCTTCTTCCTAGGAAAAAAGTGAATTTATGAATAATAATTGCAGTGAACAGGTCCTATATACTGATCCCATGATTACAGAGATAAGAGAAATTTTTCTCCCAGAAGAACACAAGCCCACAGACTACAAGAAAGGAAATAATACTGGAACCCAGGAGACGAGAGACTGCCTGCAAGAGTCACTACTCACCAATGCTCCAGTTGTGTATATCCCTGATCTCAACACTGGGTATAAACCCCAGATTTCAAACTTTCTTTCTGGGGGGAACCCTCTCACTAAGAATAATGAAACAGATTCTTCAACTCTTAAACCACCAGTTGATTCCTTGGATTTGGGAGAAAATTCCACATTAAGAAAGTATCCCAATTTTGTTTTTTCTGTCTCAAGTAGGAATTCTCTAGGCAATGTACTATTTCTCGAAGAATTAAGCCTCATTTTAAATCAAGGAGAATGCAGTCCTCATGACATGCAAAATTCAATAGAGAGGGAAAGCGTCACTGAAACTATTCCAGAACAGACCCTGCTGCCTGATGAGTTTGTCTCCTGTTTAGGGATCATGAATGATGAGTTGCCATCTATTAATCCTTATTTCCCACAAAATATTCTGGAAGAACATTTCAACAAGATTTCACTCTTGGAAAAATAGAGCTGTGTGGTCAAAATCAATATGGAAAAGCTGTGTTGCAATCTGAAGGGGGATCTTCCTTTCAATATAAATTAGATTCTTCCCTCTTTTCTAAAATATTGTTGTTGTTGTTGTTGTTATGTGCCGTCGAGTCAAACCCGACTCATAGCGACCCCTCCTTGGGTTTCCGAGGCAGTATCACTACAGAAGTAGGATTGCCCAACCTTCCTTCCGAGGAGTGGCTGGTGGGTTTGAACCGCCAGGCGTCTGGTTAGCAGGCAAGTGTCTTAGCCACTATGCTACCAGAGCTCCTTAGAGAATTAAAATCCAAAGAGGGACTATGCTTTGTGGTCACATAAAAACAGCAATATTAGAGAAACCTCATGTATTTTTTTTTAATTAAGGTATCTACTGTTTTCTCGGTATTTTCCCTCATTGCAAGGTGCAGAACAGCTCCCTCAGCTTCCTCATATGAAGAAAGAATAAATAATCTAAAATATGTGGTGATGTTATGGATTGAATTGTGTCCCCCCAAAGATATATCACAATTCTAACCTCTGGAACCTGTGACTGTGACCTTGTTTAGAAATAGGGTTTTTCTTGTGTTATCTGTTAAGTTAAATGAGGTCCCTTCTGGAGTAGGTTGGGTCCTGATCCTAATCCCTTCTGAATGGTGTTTTATAGAGAGTCACACACACAGGGGGAAGATAGATGGCAGGTGACAGCAGAAGCACATTTAGATGCATCTATAACAGTAACAAAATGCCAATGATTCCTAGAAACTAGAAGAGAGTCAAGGAATAGTTCTTTCAAAGCTCTCAGAAGGAATCATGTAGCTGATACCCTGATTTGGACCCCAGATGAAGGTCCAGAAAGCTTCACTCCATCCATGTTATTAAGGTTGATTCAATTTTGAGGTGGCAGCTCTTCCCCAGGAGGATTTTGAGTGCCTTCCAACCTGAAGGACTCATCTTTTGGCACTGTATCAGGCACTGTTTCACTACTATTCGTAAAGTTTTCAGTGGCTAATTTTTTCAGAAGTGGATCATGAAGTCCTTCTTCCTCATCTGTGTTAGTCTGGAAGCTCCACTGAAAACTGTCCACTATGGGTGACCCTGCTAGTTGAAACATAGGTGGCATAGCTTCCTACATCACAACAACATACAGGCTACCACAATATGACAAACTGACAGATAAGCGGTGGATCATCAGTAAACAGGTTCAAAATTCCTCCAGAGTCTGCAGGATCACTTCCTTAACTTCTTAAAGTCCTGGGCCATGTTCACCAGTGGCTCTGTGGCAAGAGTGTGCCTGTGTTTCCCGCTAGCCATCCATGGGACTGAAATCGGCAGCTTTGTCCTGGAGAGACATATATGCAGGTTTACCTTATTTCTCATGAATTCTAGTTGTTCCTTCCCTTTTCAATGTCATGTCCTTCTTTCCTTCCTGAAAACCTACCCTGTGACTTTAGGCTGAGAATCAGACACAAGAAACAGACAAAGGAGACTGCTTTACCAGCTGCTACAATAGCATACTGTCAAATCCCCTTCTCTGATTGAAACTTGACCAACACACCAAGTCTTGACAAAGCTATCTAGACCTAGGAACTCTTATTTACTGTTGGTAAGAGTGTATATAATGTAGCCATTTTGGAGAACAAGCTGCATGGTGTTGGCAAAGAATGCTGAAAGTACCATGGACTGCCAGAAGAACTAACAAATCTGTCCTGGGAGAAGTACAGCTGTAGTGCTCCTTGGAAGTGAGAATGGCCAGACTTCGTCTCACCTACTTTGGTCATGTTGTCAGAAGGGACCATTCGCTGAAGAAGGATATCATGCTTGGTAAAGTGGAGGGTCAGCGAAAAGGGAGAAGGCCCTCAATGAGATGGATTGGTATGGTGGCTACAACGATGGGCTCAGGTATAGCAGGGATTGTGAGGCTGGCACACAACTGGGTAGTGTTTTGTTCTGTTGTACATAGAGTCGCTCTAAGTGAGAACCAACTCGATGGCATCTAACAACAAGAACTACCTCACAATAAGTATTACATATACTGGGTCCAAAGGAGCTCTGGTGGTATAGTGGTTAAGGCAGATGACTGCTAAACAAAAGTCAGTGGTTCAAACCCATTAGCCGTTCCATGGAAGAAAAATGAGGCAGTCTGCTTCTATAAAGATTTACAGCCTTGGAAACTCAATAGAAGTCATTATGAGTCAGAATTGACTCAATGGCAATGAGTTTGTTTTTGGATACTTGGTCCAGCAAAGAGTCCTTTTGGTGCAATGGTTAAGCACTTGACTGCTAAGGAAAAAGTCTGTGATTTGAACCCACCAGCTGCTATGTGGGAGAAAAGACCTGGTGATCTGCTCCTGTAAAGACTGCAGCCTAGAGAACTCTATGGGGCAGTGCTGCTTTGTCATGTTGTTATGTTGTTGTCAAGTGCTGTCGAGTCGTTTCCGACTCATAGCGACCCTATGCACAGCAGAACGAAACACTGCCCGATCCTGCACCAGCCCCACAATCCCTGCTATACCTGAGCCCATCATAGCAGCCACCGTGTCAATCCATCTCGTTGAAGGCCTCCTCTTCTTTCATCGACCCTCCACCCTACCAAGCATGACATCCTTCTCCAGGGAATGGTCCCTTCTGACAACATGACCAAAATAGGTGAGACGAAGTCTGGCCATTCTCGCTTCCAAGGAGCATTCTGGCTGCACTTCCTCCAGGACAGATCTGTTAGTTCTTTTAGCAGTCCATGGTACTTTCAGCATTCTTCGCCAGCACCACAGCTCAAAAGCATCAACTCTTCTTCGGTCTTCCTTATTCATTGTCCAGCTCTCACATGCATATAAGGTGATTGAAAATATCATGGCTTGGGTTAAGCACACCTTAGTCTTCAAAGAAACATCTTTGCTCTTCAGCACTTTAAAGAGTTCTTTTGCAGCAGATTTGCCCAGTGCAATATGACATCTGATTTTTTGACTGCTGCTTCCATGGGTGTTGGTGGTGGAACCAATTAATATGAAATCTTTGGCAACTTCAATCTTTTCTCCATTTATTGTGATGGTGCTTATTGGTTCAGTTGTGAGGATTTTTGTTTTTATGTTCAGATGTAATCTATACTGCAGACTGTAGTCTTTAATCTTCATCAGTAAGTGTCTCAAGCCACCTTCACTTTCAGCAAGCAAAGTTGTGTTGTCTGCATATCGCAGGTTGTTAATGAGTCTTCCTCCAATCTTGATGCCACACTCTTCATATAGTCTAGCTTCTTGGATTATTTGCTCAGAATACAGATTGAATAAGTACGGTGAGAGATACAACCCTGGTGCATTCCCTTCCTGATTTTAAACCATGAACTATCCTCTTGTTCTATTTGAACAACAGCCTCCTGGTCTGTGTACAGGTTCCTTATGAGCACAATTAAGTGTTGTGGAATTCCCATTCTTCTCAATATTGTACATAATTTGTTATATCCACACAATGGAATGTTTTTGCATAGTCAATAAAACATAAGGAAACATCTTCCTGGTATTCTTTGCTTTTAGCTAAGATCCATATGACATCAGCAATGATATTCCTCATTCCACATCTTTTTCTGAATCCAGCTTGCATTTCTGGAGGTTCCCTGCCAATATATTGCTGCAGCTGTTTTTGAATTATCTTCAGCAAGACTTCACTGGCATATGACATTAATGATATTGTTCGATAACTTCCGCATCCTGTGGGATCACCTTTCTTTGGAATAGGTACAAATATAGATCTCTTACAGTCAGTTGGCCAGGTAGCTGACTTCCAAATTTCTTGGCATAGACAAGTAAGTGCCTCAAGTGTGGCACCTGTTTGTGGAAACATCTCAATGGGCATTCTGTCAATTCCAAGATTGTTCTTTGCCAATTCCTTCAGTGCAGCTTTGATTTCTTCCTTCAATACATTGGTTCTTGATCATATGCCACCTCCTGAAATGGATGAACATTGCCCAATTCTTTTTGGTACAGTGACTGTGTGTATTCCTTCCATCTTCTTTTGATATTTCCTGCCTGCATCATTCAATATTTTGCCCATAGAATCTTTTCATATTGCATCTTGAGACTTGAATTTTTTCTTCAGTTCTTTCAGTTTGAGAAATGCCAATGTGTTCCTCCCTTTTGGTTTTCTAACTCCAGATATTTGCACATTTCATTATGATTATTGACTTTGTCTTCTTAAGCTGCTCTTTGAAATCTTCTGTTCAGTTCTTTTATCTTCTCATTTCTTCCATTTGCTTTAGCTACTCTCCATTCAAGAGTAAGTTTCAGAGTCTTTTCTGACATCCATTTTGGTCTTTTTTTCCTTTCTTGCCTTTTAAATGACCTTTTGCTTTCTTCATGAATGACATTCTTGATGTCATCCCACAGTTCCTCTGGTTTTGGTCATTGGTGTTCAACACATCAAATCTGTTCTTTAAATGGTCTCTAAATTCAGAAAGGACATAATCAAGGTCATATTTTAGCTCTTGTGGAGTTGTTTTAATTGTCTTCAACTTCAACTTCAACTTGCATATAAGCAATTGATGGTCTGTTCCACAGTCAGCCTCTTTCCACAGATGCAGTCAATCTGATTCTTGTGTATTCCGCCTGGCAAAATCCACATGTATAGCCACCATTTATGTTGTTGAAAATGGTATTTACAATGAATAAGTCATTCATTGTAAATAAATTCTATCATGGCATCTCCAGCATCATTTCTATCTCCAAGGCCATATTTTCCATCTATTGATGATTCTTCTTTGTTTCCAACTTTGTGTTCCAATCACCAGTAATAATCAGCACATCTTGTTTGCATGTTTGGTCAATTTCAGACTGCAGAATTTAGTAAAAATGTTCAATTTCCTTGTCTTTGGCTCTTGTGTTGGTGTGTAAATTTAAGTAATAGTAGTATTAACTGGTCTTCCTTGTAGGCATATAGATATACACCTATTGCTGACAGCATTGTACTTCAGGATAGATCTTGAAATACTCTTTGTGACAATGAATGCCACACCGT